AACTTTCTTATTTACTGGTGATATCTGCCATGATCTCGTCTGCATCAGTATTCGCCTTGACAGCAGCAAAGGCACGCCCGCTCTCGTTCATCCGCTGGTCCGAGTACGCCTCATCGCTGCGGTCTGTCAATATCTGTAGATCTTTCTCCGAAAGCAGAGACTCTGACGTGGTTTCAGCGCCGATATCAAACACTTCAATATCTTCGTCTCCGAATATCTTCTTTAGCTCATCCGCCTGACGCTGGGGGTTGGAGGAACTCGTAGAATCAAGCAAGCTTTTGAATTTTCCCTTTTGAATGACTAGTTTCTCCAGCCGGCGTTTGGAACCAGCTCGCTCAAGGAGGGTCTGTTCAATTGTGCCTCTGGTAGCTAGCCGGTAGACAATCACTGGCTTTGTCTGGCCGATTCTGTGAGCTCGGTCCTGGGCCTGGAGATCCTGTTGCGGGTTCCAGTCAGAATCGAACAGAATAACGGTGTCAGCGGCAGTGAGGTTGATGCCTTGGCCCCCTGCTCGGGTGCTTAGCAGAAATATTCTGTAGTCAGGATCGTTGTTAAACGCATTGATCTGTTCCTGTCGGTCAGCTTGTGCAATTGCACCGTCGATTCGACAGCAGTTCCAGGATCGGAGCTGTGTGGCCCAGTCCTCAAGGATATCAAGTTGGCCTTTGAATTGAGAGAAGATTAGGACTTTGTGTCCCTTGGATATAAGACAGGGCACAAGACGATCTAGAAGAAGCATCTTGCCAGAAGATGTAATGAGTGTTGAGTCCACCCCCGAGTCTTCTCCCCATGGCCAGTAGAAGTTGAGCGGGGAATTGCATACCAGCCGGGCCTGCATGACTGGATTTTGGAGCTTCTTAGAGGAGATCTCTTTCTCTATAGCAGATAAGTTAGAGCGAACCATCGTTCTCAAATCAGAGTAGAAGGTATACGTACTGGCTAGCTTCATGGTTTTTGCTCTCTCAATTTCATCCATCTCCCCCTCACTAAGCTCGCTCTCCTCAGGGGTTTCCTCCTGTATCCCTTTCTCTAGCCTAGCTAGCTTGCTATTGAAGTCTCTATCAGACTCCTCCTTGTAGTTTTTGGATCTGCCTCGACGCCGGGCCCTAGTCGGTGTAGAGTCACGGCTAGATTTTGCACTCTTGTTGGGCGTGCTTAGCTCACTGCCGCTTGCGCCTCTCTTCAGGCTGCGTGCTCTTGATTGTTTCTCTGAGCCGTTCCTAGCTTCTATTCGCTCAGCGGCCTTCTCTTCCAGATATTGACGGCTCGTTCCGTTCACTATCTGGACATACAGCTCCTTCTGCTCCGGTGTCAGTGGCGCGTACAAAACATATTCTCGTTTCTTCGGAAGTGATGATTCAACGTCCGTCTTTACTCGCCGTAGTAAGAATGGCTTGAGAATGGCATGCATTGTAGACACAAGATTGCGTCTCCGTCTCTCGTTGACTGCATTTTGATCGGAATCATCGAGAACAGATGAAAAATCAAACCAGCTTTGAAAGTTATCCAAATCATTAAATATTTCAGGCAGCAAAAAATGAAGCAGTGACCATAGCTCAGCAATATTGTTCTGCAGAGGTGTTCCAGTTATGAGCAGTCGATTTGCAGATGGGTATGTCAGGAGCTCTTTGATCAATTTGCAGTTCATATTCTTCAGACGGTGTCCCTCATCCTATAAAAGTCATTGTTAGTGTTCCATTTTGAAGCGTTAGGTAAAATGTCTACACCTACCACAATGATATACTTCCACTGGTAGTTAGCAAGGAACTTTCGATCATTCATGCAGATTTCATACGAAGTACAGACAACCGGGAAATCCGGCGCTCTCTGGTCCTGATTTTTCATCTGTTTCCGTCGAATCTCACTACGTTGTTCTTTGGTTCCATGATAAAGAACAGTATTGATAGATGGGGTCCACCGAGCAAACTCATTTACCCAATTGCTGACAGTGCTCAAGGGTGCAGCAATCAAAAACGGCCCAGGGATATTGTGTTCTTTAAAGAACGCTATTAACGAGATGGCTTGCACCGTCTTTCCGAGACCCATCTCATCCGCTAAGATACCACAAAGTCCATTCATCCAAAGAGACTTCATCCACTCCAGCCCTTCAAGCTGATACTTTCTCATCTTCCCTCCTGTGACTAAGGAGGGTTGTGGTTGCAATCAGATCTTCCTGCTCGGCCTAAAGCAGAAGGCTTTGCTTTCAAATTCCGTCAGCAG